TTCTGCTATCCGCATGATAAATACATGTTGTAGGAGTGCTTTTTAAGAGCTCGAACAAGGATAGCGGAAAATAACAGATAGAGAAACAAATGTAGATAGCCAAAGTGATTAAAACTATTATCCACATGTAAATGAGATTTTATATAATTTATAAATATATGAGCAATATAATGCTTTTTTCATATATCCGAGCAAAAATAGACTTATTAACCCTCAACTCACTTAATCGACCAGGCCAACGGGCTAAACTGGGTTGACAATCTTTGATACTTTGAAATCTATATATTCTAAAAATTTTGGGTTTCAATTTTTATGATTAATTAAAATCAATCAATAATTGTGAACTTTCAGAAAGTGGTTGAAATTCAAAAGACGGTCTTCAAGGTTCTTTCGTGACAGACAAGTTTTTGCGTTCAATTATAATTGGGTCGAAGGAGAGAAGGGGAACAAATGGAGGATGAGATTGTGGCTATTAATTATTGGGATTGCAGATGGAGAAGATAAGCCATAAAAAGGGCTAAATTTTTAATTTGATAATACATATATACTATATATTATGAGGGCATATTTGATGTGAAAAATAATAGAAGGATAGATTTGAGAAAAATAGATAATAGAGTGACAATTTATGCTATTAACTCCCATGAAAAGTCAAAAATTGTATTGGTAGAGTAGAATTTAACGTTTTATAATGTCTGAATTTTCTTAAATTTTCTATGTGCGTTAGGCTGACTTCAATGTGAGCGCCATTTTCTCTTTTGTCGCCATTTGGTGCCCAAAAATTGGGGATGAAAATGGGGATTACCCAAAAAATGGGGGGAGGTGTGCTGGTGGGCGGGACAACCGCCAGCGCGCCACCTGACTTTTTTACTTCTTTATTAGATTTTAGAAGTTAATTGAGAGTTTAATTAAGGGATTAATTATGAGTTTAATTAGATCAATAATTTTCAAGTGTCGTGTGTAAAAAAAATAGGTAAAATAATTTCTTGCCAAAAAAATTCGGTTTCGAAATTTAAAAAAATATTATAAAAAAATTTGTATTTAAAAATGATGACGAACAATAAAAAAACAAATTATATTAAGATCATCATAAGTACATTTTTAAGTAAGGAAAAACTAGAAAAAAGGGAGATCTCCAAATTTGGAGATTCTAGCATTGGAGCAAATTAATATTCAATCCTCATACAATTGCAATTGTGGTCCTACTAACCTTTTTAATGCAAATCAATATTCATATTATCTCTATCATTTAACTTAAATATCGTAATATCCTTTAAACTTAAATTATTATCTTCCTATAATTAATATCAATTAAAGTTAATAAATATAATTATAAAATTCGAGTTACTAATTAAATAATACATTATATGTTTTATTAAATAATACATTATATATTTTATTAAATAATACATTATATGTTTTATTATATGGTGGCTCCATAATGCATCAAATTTTGAACTTTAATTAGTACTCTCAATCTAATATGATGATATGACATAGAATCATAACAAATCAATCTATTACCCTAACCCCTTAACCTTCAATTTGGAATCCCAATGCAAAATCCCAAATTGTAAACCTAAACCCTAAACCTAAACCTCTAAATCCTAAATACTTCAAATTAAAGTAAATCTTAAATGGTTTTTTTTCAAAATCATGTGCTTCTTATTCATAATATCATAAACAACAATTGATACCGTTTTGACATGAATCACATGCTGAGAATGATGATTATGAGGCGGGTGCACTGAGTGCACCAAAAAAAGTGGGTGCGTCGAATACGCCACCTTTATTATATAATACATTATATGTTTAATTAATAGTATGTTTTTAATCTGTATAACAAACCACATATATTACAAAATAATAAAATGAATGATGAAAAAAGAAGATGATATATGACAATGTTTTTGGTTATGAAATGGAGGGAGGGGATGACTACACGTGGTCCAAGAGAAAACAAATGGATGGAAAAGAAGAAAGAAAGAAAAGGTCATACCACATGTCAGAATTGCACAACGTGTAAACTTTCATCACTTGAAAGTGATCTTCCAATTCCATCGATGTAATTGGCTTTTTCAATTGCAAGTGTCTGCCACCTCAGCATGCCCAATGCAGTTATGCACATAGGTGTCAATCGGGCGGGTTCGGGTTGGGTTTAATCGGGTTCGGGCTCAAACGAGTTGCGGGTTAGTCGGGTTGCGGGTTCATCGTGTTCGGGTTCAAACGGGTTGCGGATTAGTCGGGTTGCGGGTTCATCGGGTTCGGATTCAATCGGGTTGCGGGTTCATCGGGTTTTGGGTCAGGCGGGTTGTGGGCGGGTCGGGTTTCGGGTTGTTCGGGCCAGCGCATCAAGTAACTTAACTCATTACTCATTACCAACTTACACATTTTATTACACTAATTTAAAATATTTTCTCAACTTTTTAACCAATTTATTTCTACCTCGTATATATAATTTATATACTTTATTTTTTTGAAAAAAATAGTCAAAATGTTAAATCAATTTGTATGACTTGCAAACTTGTTATGTAATTAATCATAATTGGTAAAGTATTATAGCTAATAGTAATGGTGATATCAATATTTGCAACCAAAAGACACCATTAATTATTTATTTGATATTTTAGTATTAATTCAGTTTTAATTGGATTAAATTATCTCGTTTAGTATAACCATGCAAATCTGGTATTTGGCGTGTGGTATTTGGCAAAAGCATAGTGATAAAAGGAGTTATTTCAAAATAACTCATTTCCCAAATAACTTTAGTAAACTGTTGCCAAACGAGTTATTTGTAAAATTGTTCGAATTATCCTAAAAATTGAACCATTAAAGATTATGTATCAAATTTAGTAAAATTATTGTGACTTCAATCATAACTTACTCAATAGCATATATCCTATACACTTAGCTTTACCCTCAATCAACAATATTAAGTTAGTATATGTTATTGATTGTATACCCTAAATCATCAATACATTATACACTAACCACATAACCTATACCCTAATCATATGTCCTTGAGTTGTGATTTTGCTAGTATAGTTAATTTAAAAGTGAAATTCATATTTTGATTTTCAAAACATAGATAAAAAGTGATATTTGCTAATTGTTATACCCTAACCATATATCATATACTTTACACCACATACCTTGTACCCTAACCACGTACCATAAACATAAATTAAAAAGGATCTCCTGCCGTTAAAGACTTCAAATAACTTTAAGTGAAAATATGTTAATAAAAAACTTAAAACCGTCAAAACCATCAATATCTTATACCCTAACCATATACACCCTAAACCATATGTACCTTATACCTTATACCCTAACCATATACTTTATATCCTAAACAACGAACCGTCAAAGATTACTTATCAAGTTTAGTATAAATTGTTGTAACTAATGGTTAATTTATTTATTAGCCCATAAAAAATTACATACATATATACATATTAGCCTTCAAAGCATATAAGAATAATTTTAACTAGTCATGCCCTCCATATAAAAGTTAAAGATTCATATTTCAAATGCTAAAATTATGAAAAACCAAAAAATTGAAAACACAAAATTTGTTTCCTTCTTTCTTTTCACAAAAATACTAAAATTTTCCTCCTTCTTTCTCCTTCCATACATTAGAAAAAACTCAATTTTCCCTCCTCTTTCTCTTCCATAAAATTGAAAGAACCAAAATTACTCTCTTCTTTCCTTCTACAAAAAGTTGAAAAGCCAAAAGTTTCCCTCCTTATTTCTCTTTCATAATCAAAATAATCAAACTTTCCCACTTCTTTCTCTTCCCACATATCAAAACCACCAAAATTCCCACTTGTTTCTTTTCTAAAAAATTCAAAGAACCAAATTTCCCTCTTCTTTCTCTTCACAAAAACTTGAATACACCAAAATTTTCCTCTTCTTTTAAAAACATCAAATTACCAAATACATTACTTTGCTTCATTTATATTTAATTGATAATTTTATTGAATAGTTAAATTAACCAAAATTTTAATTTATATATTATATTAATATTGTCATGATTTCAAGTGACCTTCATGTTTCAATTTTTGTAATTTTCTTAAAATACGTAATATCAAGTGAGTTTCATATTTTTAAAATTTCTTATACGAAATGAAAAAATAATTTTACTTAAGTTTCGAATGAAAAACTTTATTTTGAAAAACTATGTATTGTATATTTTTATAATTATTCAAGTGGATTAGATGAAATTCGGGTTGAGTCGGTCGGGTTACGGGTTAGTTGGGTTTCGAGTCAATCGGGTTCGGGTTAATCGGGTTGCGGGTCAATCGGGTTCGGATTAATCGGGTTGCGGGTTAGTCGGGTTGCGGGTTAGTTGGGTTGCGGGTCAATCGGGTTGCGGGTCGGGCGGGTTACGGGTTGTTGACTTTTAGTCAATTCGAGTTGCGGGTCGGGTTGATCGGGCGGGTTAATCGGGTCGGGCTATGTTTTGACACCTATAGACTTATGCATATGCTTTTAGTATCTAATATTTAACAGTCCTACTTATTATTCAAACAAGTATATACACTAAATTATATTAATTTATACAATAAGCATGATTTTTTCTTGTTCTTCCATATTTGAGATTTCTATGCACAATCTTTTCGCTATTCTCTTGATTTTATTATATATCTTCAATTCCTACCAATTGTAGATGACATATATTTCTTTCCAACTCCAAATTCATATCCGATAATAAAAAGTTCACAAATTTCTTCTAAGATATGAAAAAAGAATACACAATAGTAAACTAGGACGACTTAATAAAAAATACATATTAACTAATTATCGCTAATGTTATAATCAACAAATACCATAAAGATTACTATAAAATAATGAATTAACTATTTTAGAAAACCTCAAATTATTTAAAAAAATGAAGAAATTAATCAACATAGAATAAAATAAAATGCATCCGACTAACAGGCCAGATAAATATTTTAAGTATAGTTATAAATTAACCAATATAAAAGATAAAAGTAAAATTCATTCGGCCAAGGGCCGGGTAAAAGCTAGTTTGTTAAGGTATAGATATTTGACAATGTAGATTGTTTGTTAAAAAGTTATAAATGAGTAATTTTCTGAGTAATTTGTATGACGTTACTATTTTCCCTAACATGCAATATGTTTCATTTGTATGACAACAGTGAGGTTATTTGGCTTTGTGCTTTATCACGTGTACATAGTCGTTAATGTTATTGGTCTGACTCGTTTGTTCTGTGACAACCAAGTCGTGTTGCACATTGCAGCCAATCCATGAGCGTCTAAGCACATTGAGCTTCAATGTTACTTTGTTCGTTATCATGTTGCCTCTGGCTCTATCTCTCCACATAAATTCCCAATGTCGACCAGGTTGCTGATATGTTTACTAAAGGTTGGGGCGGAGATTGTTTTCATTATCTGCTTACCAAGCTGGGCGCTTATGACCTTCATGCATCAGCTTGAAGGGGAGTATAGAGCACCGTGATATGTACTAGAGGGGTTTATTTGTGATTTACCCCATGTATGGTTAGCCCTAGGTTTCTAGTTGATAGGGGTATAAAAGACTTGTAATTGGCTTCGGCTAAACCTAATATATAATAACCAAAATCGCAGAGTATTCTTCCGCGCACTAATCTCATTCATATAGAATGGGAAAATCACGCAAATCATTGAGTCGTGCGTCTCCATCATTCTTCATTTGTTACGAACTTTTCAAATATAATCACAACCACCAAACATTGTAATCTTTGAATGCAACCATTTAACCAATACATCTTTCTAACAATCGTAAATACCAATGAGCTCTAATTGTTGTAAATTCATTGCCCAAAGCAAAGTGTTACACCTTAGGCAAATCTCATATCGATAAAGCGCATGAGAGATTCATGATTCATAAAGAACATGCAACCTTAACAGAGAAGATGTGTTTTGTGGTGAAATGGAAGAGTTCTTGTGAGAACCGCTGAAATTAAACGTGCTTATTGTGTAGCGGAGCAAAGATGAGTGATCTCCTGGGAAGTCATCACGATGCACCCCAAAGCATATCAAATGGGATTAAGGAATGTGTCTCAACAGGCAACTTCAGGGTGTTGTTTAATGGAGTTCCATCTGATTCTTTCTCTCCGTCGAGAGGCATTCGCTAGGGAGATCCTCTGTCTCCTCTTCTTCTCATCCTGATGACAAATCCACTCTCCTTCCTTATTGAAAAATCAATTAAAGCTAAGCACATCAAAGGTCTCGGACTGAATAATAAGTGTCTGAGAGTCACTCATTGCCTCTTCGCAGATGACACTATTTTTTTTGGTGAGGCTTCTCAGGTGGAAGCTTCTCACCTTGTGAATGATTATGTGGCTCTTACTGGACAAGAGATCAACAAGGATAAATCCTCTACTTTCTTCAGCTTCAATGTTTCTAACACAGAAAGACAGAGCATCAAGAATATGTTGAATTTTGATGATGAGTTTTGTCATTCGAAGTATCTGGGAGTCCCAACCTCGTGGGGAAGATCTAAAAAAGGAGATGTTCAATTTCTTGCTGGATAAGAAGGAGAGCCAAGGAGATAATCGGAAGAGTTTGCTCCTCTCATCAGTTGGAAAGGAAGTCCTACTCAAAGCAGTTTTCAAGGCTATCCCATCTTACCTGATGACCATCTTCCTCTTCCCTAGATCGACGACCAATAAAATGGATAGTATGTTGAAAAGGTTCTTCTGGTCAGGATCCACAACAAAGAAAACCATTTACTGGAGAGTGGGTGACGTCCTCTATGCCCAAAAGAGGAGGGAGGGCTTGAGTTTCGACCGTTTCACTTCTACAATTTTGCTTTACTTGAAAAGCAAGTTTGGCGAATCCTCTAATCTCCAAATGCATTATGGGTCCGTCTCCTGAAGGGATTATACACTGTGACTTTTCAGAGGCTCGTAAAGGGAGTAGAGCTTCATGGATTTGGGCAAGCTTTTGTGATGTCTCAAAGTGGATGTACCTAGGAATTGTCAGAGTCATAGGAAACAAACACTCTAGTAGGATTTAATGATCCTTGGATTCCAATGAAAGCTGGATGCTATCTCTAGGGCTCTTCTGATGATTTCGAGAATGTTTGCGATTTGATTCACCCGATGAAACATTCATGGATTTTTTCGACACTAGATGACCTCATCACTGATCACCATTGGTTCTCCGGAAATGGAGAACTTTTGGGCATGGCGCTTCATGACAAATGGAGAGTTCTTGGTTAGTTTTGCTTTCCACGCTTTTCATGATAGTTTTCATTTTGGAGTTGCTGGAAGCTCTAGGATTTCCACAGATGATAATGAAAAGTGGAAATGGCTTTGGAGCCTTTCGTTGCCTCCGAAGCTCAAATTCTTTATCTGGAAGTAGGGGTGGAAATCGGTACGGTATCGGTATCCCAATACCAAATACCGAAATCCCGAATACCGAATTACACCCTAAAATCAATCCCAATCCCAATCCCTAAATAATTTCGGTATCCCAATCGGTACCTCGGTATCCCTATCGGTATTATCGAATACATAATTAATTACCTTTGCAATTAATAATTAAATATATAAATTAGATTTTATTGTTTAATTTAGGACAAAGAGACTAAGCAAATAGTCTTGAGTTGCCTAGAGCGAACATCACAAGTTCTTGTAATTGGTAATCTTTAATTTGAAGAATTTGAGGTTGAGAGCAATGCAGTCAAAATCGCGTTTTAAAACTTAAAAACTTACGATTTTACGCTTTTAGATCACCAAAACGCTTTTGTTTCTATATAAAAACATAAGTGTATAAAATCAGACTAAATTGCGCTTTAAAGCTTAAAAGCTTACGCTTTTACGCTTCTAGTTCACCAAAACTCTTTATGTTTTTACGCATTTAGTTCACTAAATCGGTATTCTTTTCATGAAATTAATTATAAAAAAGTATATTTTAAAGTAAATCACCAACAATATGATGTATTTGAGATGAAAAGATATATACCAGGTACTTGTATGCATTCTCAATTTCAATAGAGTAATCTAATTCACCAGCTAGGCTCTTCCCGAATTCATTAGCATAGAGGAAAAAGCGGCTTATTGTCAAAATTTATGTTTACGAACTTATTATTAAGATGCTATAAGTTGCTCTGCTTTAGGCATGAATTGCATTCATTTATTAACTTATCTAAATTTTGTGCATTCATATTTTACATAGTATATGTCTAACTTAATAGATTGTTAGTTATTTTTCAGTATACGTGAAAAACTTACGCTTTTACGCTTTGATTCTACGCTTTACGATTTTACCCCTTTTCCGCTTCTAGGTAGAATCGCGCTTTTGACTGCATTGGTTGAGAGACGACAATACTAGTGTGAAATAGTGATGTAATGATCTATGTATAATTAAATGACACTTTTGGTGGTTCAGGGTCGTGTAGTAGTGAATGAGAGAGTCTAGTTGAGAGGATAAAATATACACTAGCTTATATTTCGGTATTGATCGGTATTTCGGTATATACCGATCCCAATCCCGTAATCCTTAATACCGAATAACAATTGAAATTCAATCCCAATCTCAATCCCACAAAATAATACGTGTATTCGGTAATACCAAATATAGACAAATTCGGTACAGTATTCGATATATCCCAAATACTGGTACCAAACTTCCAGCCCTATCTGGAAGGCATCTAAGGGTGTGTGGGCCACAAATGCAAACCTCTTCTCGCGTCACCGCTCGCCTTCTCCGGAGTGCCCTATTTGTCTCCAGACAGACAAAACTACTCACCATGTCCTTTTTGGTTGCCCCCGCGCTGGAACTTCATGGTTTCAGTTTGCTCCGGAGATTGCGCTTCAACCACCTTCTCTGAAGGTTATTGATTGGTTGAGGGAGGTGGGGAAGAATTGCAACCAGTGTGTTCCTCAATTCTTAGCTTATCACCCGTGGAATATGTGGAAAGCAAGGAATGAGAAGATTTTCAAGAGCACTCCCCCTGGCCCCCACGCACAATTGCGAAAATGCTTCATGAGTTTCAATAATGGAAAGCGTGCCCTCAAAAGAGGAAAGAAGGGACCAGTTGTTCAAGTCGGCCCAACCCATCTCCAGCCCATCCCTCACCACCGCCAGGTAATCTTGAGTTTGAGATTAACTGTGATGGATCGTTTTTCTACAATTCCCCGGAGGCGGCATATGGAGTAGTCGTTACTAACACCCATGGCGAGATTTGTGATGGAAAGGTCGGCTCCCTACTCTGCAGCTCAGCATTGGAAGTAGAAGCGAGGGCATTGCAGGAAGGATGTTCATTTGCAATGGAGACTGCTAGTCCATGCATGATCAAATCTGATTTTAAAGTCTTGGTTGACGCCATTGGAGGGCCAAGAAAGGGGTGGTCGTGGTAAGTTGCAGCGAGACTTGACGTTGTCTCCTCTTTCCTCAGACGTTCCTCGAATGTGGGAATAACCATTGTTCGTCGTGCCAACAATGTTCGTACTGACTGGGTTGCCAGATCATGCGCCAAGAACCAACTTCCCATCGATTGAATTACTATCTTGAATGTGTTGTCCCATGTAAAATTTCGCTAATCTTTTGAGAATAATGCAGAGTCCTTTGTAAAAAAATAAAATACAAGGTAAGTGTAGACTATGCTTGTAATCGTTTATGAATTCTCTAGATCACATTTTGCAAACACAACTTAAACACACAAAATAAAAGTTGACTTGAGCATGAATATTTTTTTTTTGTTCGACAATGGGCTTGAGGTCTTGACTCTTGAGCATGAATATAATTAATCTGGAAGCTACCCTTAATTCGCTATCCATTAAAAACAACTTATAATAATAAATTAAATAACCCCACAGGACTGGATTTATTTAATGATAAATACCTATACCCGCCCTTTCTACCAAAAAAAAAAAAAACAAAAATACCTATACGGCTATACCCGCCCCGATTTATCTTTTGCTTCTCTTTTGACCCGAAAGAAAAATAAAGCAAAAGAATTCCACAAACACAAAAATCCAATTTCTCCTCCCTCGGTTTCCTCAATCTGCCCGATTGTCCCTCCCGCCCCCGAACAAAATTCCAATCCTCCTCCTGCTGCTGCGTTCTCTTCCTCCCTCTCCTCTCCAGATTCAAACATTTCCTTCCTCTCCTCCCCTCCCACTCCCCGATTACCTCTCCCTTCCTTCTCTCCGTCGCCCCCGCCTCCTCCTTCGCCGTCGCCGCCACCTACGCCATCGTCGTCCTTCCTCGAGGTGGACTCCTAGCTTCGCTTGCCTTGATTTTCTCGTCTCTGTCCCTCGTTCCTTGATTTCACGATCGCGATGTCTTATCTGAGAGTTTCCCCCTCTTTCTGACGAGTTCTGTTTGGAAATGTCGCAGGATTCCCTCGACTCTTCTCGGCCATTGCGCGTGGATTGCTCGGGAGAAGCTGCTGAGAGAAAGAGCGAGCTAGAGCGAGAGAGAGAGAGAGAGAGAGAGAGAGAGAGAGAGAGAGAGAGAGAGGCGCTTGTGTTTCTTTCTCTTTGTCTTGAGGTCAATTTCTAGCTGCTCTTGTGTTGGTCATGTCGCCGTCTGGCAGCTGACTTTTTTGTATCTCTTATTTCCAGTCTCCTTTGTTCGATCGGATTGCCGTGTTTTTCTTTGCCTGCATGCAGAATTGCATATCTCTTTCTATTAACATTAGCATGTTGTTGGTAATTCTGGCTATTTTAGATATGGATTTTCTGGATGCATTCCAGTGTTATGCAATGTTGCCAAGAATCTTGTTTACTTGAAAAATGTTACGTCGTATTCTTCCCCATGGCTGTTTTGTTTATATCACCTCAGCCCTCAGGATTATTGCCCAGGATCGAGCCATTGCCTAGGAAGATAATTAACTAGTATTCATTCGGTTTACGGCGCCTTCATTTATTGCAAGGCAGGGGCTTCTCGTTGTACAATGGCTATGGTTATCACATCATCTGTAGCTAGTGTAGGCCCTCATATATGTGCAGGAGTTTTATGACTTGGGAAACTGTTCTTACATTGTTTCATGTGGTAATGCAGTTATGCAGAGCCAGTTGGTGTGCAACGGATGTAGGAGCATTCTTCTTTATCCAAGAGGAGCTTCAAATGTTTGTTGTGCCTTATGTAATACAATTACGTCAGTCCCTCCTTCGGGTATACTACTTTTATGTGCCTTTTTTCCCCCAATATATTGACTAATGGTTCATTCTATTACATTTGCTTGACTGGTTATGTGGGCTATGCCTTTGGGTGAAATTTAGTTCTGAGATCTTGCAAGAAGCAGTTATAACATGATAAAGTTTCAAGACTTTGCTTGGACTGAACTTTTGTTATACCATATACTGGAGTTAAGCAATTTACATATTCTTGACTTCCTATGAATCGTGCCTTTGAAAAGTGAGCCCAGTGATATTTATTGTGAAGATTTTCTTTGTAGACAGCAGATATTTGAAACATATGTATGTCATTGATTTATGATCAAGCCTCCAGCTCATGATGCAACGTCCGTTGTTGATCTTTAGTTGGGTTCAACAATGAATTCTATGTGAAAAAGGTCGAGTCTCTTGCTCCCATGTATTTCTAAATAAAATGTGATATATGGTATGAAGATAACAAGCTGATTTATCTTACTTACTTCTTGCTCAATTCTTCACTTGATGTATTAGTTTTGGCATCTTCAATTGGTGAAGATGCAATTTCAACCTTGAAGAGAATTTATGCTTTTGAGGTTTGGAGTCCTTTCGATGAAAAAATCATAAAAATAGTACTGGTATTTTTGTCGGTTCGGGGTGATATTCAGTCAAAGATGCTCGAATTCTTTTCTGCTCCTGTATGAGCTACATGTTAACATATTCCAATCTTTATGTCAACATTGAAGGTTATAATTTTAACAAAGGATATAGCTGCTTAACTTGTATGTTATCCCTGCAGGGATGGAAATGGCTCAACTTATATGTGGAGGTTGCAGGACTTTGCTAATGTATACACGTGGTGCAACCAGTGTCAGATGCTCTTGCTGTCATACTGTGAACCTGGCACCAGGTAAAAATTGATTACCTGATTAGATGCCAGTTTATAAGTTCTGATAAAGTCAGAGATCTCTTTATTCAAGATTCTACAAAATATAGAATAAGAGGATTACATTTCTTCCATAAAGATGTTGGCAATTCATTCATGAGCATTCGAGTTGCTTACCAGCAAAATTACGAACTTGGCATAGATGTATTTGGACTGATGGCTCCCATTTGAAAAATAACAGTTCATTCTGGATCACTGATCTCATAGAAGAGCTGTGTGTCAGCTTATTGCTCCTTACCGTTTGTGATTGACCCTATGTGCATTTCTGTTATGAGCTTAGGTCCAGTAGTTTAGTGTCCAGGCTATTTCTGTTATGAGCTTAGGACCAGTCAGCATGAAATGCCACATCAGCTTTGTAATTTAATTAACAGGAGATAATGCTAAATCTTGATTCCTTTAACTGCTTCCTGTTCCATAACTCATGAAAGTGCTGAAGATTTGTTCTTCTCAAGCTTTTACGAGACATGTAAAAAGACATTGAGTTCTGAATTCTCCATGGGTTATGAAAGCAGAAAACTAACTTACTAGCAAATAGTTCCTTCTAGAGTTGTGCGAGTTTTTATTTATTCTACATTTTGAGATGGAGAACCCTTCATTGAGAATCCTAATTGGAAACGTCTTGATATACAAACAAAACCACCTTCAAGTGTCAATTATTTTCAAATAATTATGTTATTATGGAAATACTCTTCTTAGTGACCATTCTATACTTCTCAGTTTCACCTGATAGTTCAATTTCTAGCTTCTCTTTTGCATGTATGTACATAAGGAACACTGATATGATATTTTCATCTTAATACATTTCGTGATGTACATCACATGATTTCTGTTTCCAGCAATGCGTGTGAGGGTCATATAGTGTTTTGCTTGATGTGTTCCTCCTGTCAAATGTTATTTTCCTCATATAGCGTCTCCTGATTCTGATTTTTGAATTTTGGTTGATGTGAGGTAGTGTCTAGTCAGGTTGCTCACGTAAACTGTGGCAACTGCCGGACGACGCTTATGTATCCATATGGAGCTCCATCTGTGAAGTGTGCAGTCTGCCATTATGTCACAAATGTCAGTGTAAGTCTTCTACTTTTTTCTCCAATTTGTGCTATCTTTCCATTGGCCTTTCCTGATTTCTAAACAGCTAGGGTTGCCTGTTTCTAGACTTTTTGTCATCTTATCTTCTGTTCGAAGTAGATATAGTCGGTTGCAAGAACTATGGTAAGCATTAGATCCCTTTGAATAGAAGCGTTCAAATCAACAATGTGGTTATAAAGGGAACTGACAATTTAGCTGAAAAATATATAAAGACTTCGGTTAGGGCTTCCTTACAGCTACCTATAGCTGATTTTAAGTTCTACGTTTTCCTGGGAACACAATTTAGTTAGGGAGAGGAGGTTTTATTGTTGACTTCAGAAAGCCAATGTCGATGAAATGGAATGGTGTGATTGCAGAAGACATCCATTAATCAGACCACAGCTAATTAATGGGTCCCAATATAACTATCTTGTTTTGGGAGAGGGATGGTCTGCACCTAGTGGTCTCATTATATTACTTTGCTTTCCCGGTGCAGGTGGCAAATGTGAGGGTTCAACTGCCAGTGAACAGACCAAATGGTACAGGCGCTACGCTGCCATTGCCATCCACTTCCTCAGTAAGTTGTCAACTTTGCCGAGTGATCTGATTCTGAGAAACATTCGATATCTTCTCTGTTTTACTAATTCTGATTGTTGTTGCTTCCCTTCATCCATTGACTCAGGCAATGCCGCAATCACAGACTCAGACAGTAGTTGTCGAAAATCCAATGTCTGTCGATGAAAGTGGGAAATTGGTAAGAATCAACCTAGTCACCCCAGCCTTTCTTTGCCCGGGAAAGTAAGAATCAACCTAGTCATCCCCAGTCCAACCCAACCATCCACTTAAAACTCATCTAAGCCAGAGAAACCCATTTGACCCAAATTCATTGTGTTCTTCTGCAGATGGGTTACAGCAAAAATACCATTTCATATCTTATATTTTAGTACCCAATTCACACATTTACATGAAATTTTGTTTCAAACTGAAACTGGTATTTAGTTTCAAATATTTTTGAGTCCTAAACTTTCAGAACTGGTCCAGAATCTGAATCGAACTTTTTCTCTGTCAATTCAGTCAGGTGATGAAATTACATTACTGCACCCCTTCTTTTTTAGCCAGTTATAAACTAGTCCACCTCTGTCGTTTTACAATCAATACCTAAACTACTAGGATCGTACCCAACAGCCCTTAGACTTGATAGGCAACTGCAATGCCATTAGAAACCATATCAGAATTCCAAGAAAATCTCAACAACCCACTTACAACTTTCAAACACTCGTCCCCATGAACCCGACCCATGGACCTAACTCATTTGTGCCACCTCTAGTGCTCTCCTCTGTATCTTCTGCTTCTCCTGCATTTCATCTTTCTCAGTATGAGTGCTGTTTGATAAGATCCCCCATTGAAATATACGTTGCAGGTGAGCAATGTGGTTGTTGGAGTCACAACAGATAAAAAATAAGGAAGCGGGGGAGGCTTTTGGAGATCTTTGCTTGTATCCATTTTGATTAGGGTTAGGGGTCATGGCTTTTGGGGTTTGGGAGGGGGTGGAGGGTGGGAACTGTGTGTATAATATTTCAATGGAGATTAAACAGAAAGAGGAAGAAGCTATAGAGAAAAGAAGCCTTGGGGAAGAAATTTTAAAAAAGAAAGTGTGGATGTACATTTGAGGAACTTTGTACCATTCATGCATATTTTGTACTCTACTCAAAACCATGGTGAATCACCCTGCTGCTGTAATCTTTCAGATTTATTTGATTACATTTTTGGTAATCTCTTACAGAAAATCTTCATCTGTACATCTCTTATAAATGACTAGGACATTCCGTTTTTGGGTTCTCTGTGGTCTATTTATCGTCCTTTCTTTTTCGCCCTGGATTCGAATGTGCTCCTTCTTGATTATGGCTTGCGACATATAGACAGATTTGTTTTGCGGAGAGTGTGAAAGCATGTTTGTACTGGAGGAACAAGGCGAGAAAGGCTCATGACATACAGATTAGTTCTGCGGAGAGAGTGAAAGCATGTTGAACAGTCAGTTTTACATGCTGGAGCTGGAGGATCTTGTGCTTCTAACTTGAGGAGAAGAGCACTTAACTTCTCAGTTTTCGCCCAACAACGAAATGTAACTGTCCAGCTTGGTTCATCCGATGGCGTTGTAAATGGCCACTGTAATGAAGACGGTTTTACGATACCGCCAACATTACAAAATACAAACTACCAAATTTACAGGCCGCGACTTGACGCTGAGATACAGCGAAGATTGAAAGTCCCTAAATACGTAGAAACTGCCAGGAAAAAAGAGCACCACCTTCAATTTGTTTAGTGTTTCTCAGCAGGAAAGGCGAAGCCTAAGCAGTTTCCCAACTACTATGACCAGAAAGCGGGAAATCATCTAAAATTTGTCCATCTGATGGTTCGACCACCCGAAGAAACGTAATTCACAAGTAGAAACATAGAAGTTAAAAAAAAGTGGTTCATATTTAGGATCATCCCCCGTAGAATCGCAACTATAAATGATGAACCCACTTCGTTTCGGTTTCACAGACACCCCAAAATCCAATCAAAAACCCAGAAGCAAGCTCTACTCCTATCCAATTCCAATCCATCTATCTATCTTCTGGGCAACATGGGTGAAGAAGAGGTCGTGCAAAAGCGACAGAAGGCGGTTGTCCTGGTGCTCAGGGCGGCGGCCTTGCTGGCCACCGCAGCTGCAACCATTGTGATGGCACTCAACAAGGAAACCAGAACCTTCGTAGTTGCCACCGTTGGTACGACCCCTGTCACTGCCTCTATCACGGCTAAGTTCCAACAGACCCCTGCAAATGTGTAAGCCCTTTTTCATTTTCCATACACCACTTGGATCGATTTTCTGCCTGGTTAATCAGCGGAAACATTTTTGAATCGAGAGTGACGATTGATTCATTTGGCCTTTGACATCCTCTTGCGTGCACGCAGATTCTTTGTGATAGCCAACGCAATGGCTAGCAACCACAACTTGATGATGATTGGTTCCGACCTGTTCGGCATTGATTACAGAGGATTCAAGCTCCCCTTAGTAGCCATTCTAGATATGGTAACTTAACTAACCACCTGACCTTAGTGGAAATAACGAGTATTCAAGCAAACACTTCAATTCAATGGTTGCGTATGGAGAAAAGGGGGGAAAACAAGTACCCGTTTTCAAGTTTTTGCTGTTTGATTGGTTGGTAATGAATGGTATGTAGTTAAACGCGGCGCTGCTGTCAGCCGGGGTGCACGGGGCGGCTTTCATGGCGCAGCTGGCCAAGAACGGGAACTCGCACGCCAGGTGGAACGAGATCTGCGATAAGTTCCAAGGTTACTGCAACCGCGGCGGAATAGCCATTCTTGCCTCCTACGTCGGGCTGCTGGTGACGTTGGGCATCACCGTGGTGTCCATTGTGAAGCTCCTGAAGCCCAAGCCACAGCCCCAACCTCTCGCCTCTGAGATTGAAGTCCCCTGACTGAGCTAGAAGAAGAAGAAGAAGAAGAAGAAGAAACAGAGTCTTGTGCCGCCGCCGGTGGCGCCTTTTATTACTTCGCCCCAGTTGTGTGTTGATTAGGTTCTATAAAGTATAAACCCCAGGCTGAATCTATTTCAAAGTGTGTGTAAAACAAAAACTTCCATTTGGCCCCCTTTGTTTTTGGTTTGCTCCATCTGGCTACGTGAGAAATGTTGTTGGTATTTGTAGCTCAAACTGGACACTTTTTTAATAGGGTTAATATATTTGTACTAGAAAATTGGCCCGCGCTCTGCAGCGGATTCTCGAAAATAAATTGACCCATTAGCATTAAAAAGTAATAATGCGAAATCAAGGTGAATGTCTTTAGTAGTGGAAGAGAAATTATTTATTAACTTGAAGCAGATGATTTTAGAACCATTTTTAACTTCGCAATCTATTTAGCCTCAATGGACTTGAGTATGATTTTGGAGTAAATATTTGTATTATGATTATACAAATTGATTTTGAATGGAATATTTGAACTTATGATAATATATACATCAAGATATTCCCCAATTTTATGAGGCAAGAAAATAATTTTGTAACAATCAATAAAAGAAACTCTAGTATAAATGCGATGAATATTGTTATTTTACAGAATAAATACTGTTATCAACACATAATTCTGGGACAGCCCTTGGGGTTGAAAAGTGAGTACATTGATTTTTGAGATAGTGTTATATTCAAATAGAGTAACTTACAGTTTTACATAGAGTTTGTCATGGGTTTCCGTAAACTAATAAAATAATCTCATATTCCGCCCAAATGGAAAGATCAATAGAGTATCAAATTATCAATTATCAAAATTGAATGACAATAAGATGACTTATGAACACTTGTGATTATTGTTCGCAACCTTTTTGCAGTCTATGTATATTGTACTTGATAATTGTGAAATGACACAAAGTGAGTCTAGTAATGTACAACGTTCTTACTTAACTAATATCAATATAACATTATGTAAATTGTTAATATCGTTTAGGAAGACTTACGTAATACATCTTATGTAAGAAGTAATTGTCATTCCATAATCTTTATGTAATGCCCTTATATCGTACATAACATATGTAAAATGACGTTATGTAATAAGCTTTATACAGTTGATGGTCTACTATGCAATGAATACTATTATCATATTGCATAAAGTATGAAATGATTATCCAAAATACATCTAATTTAATTGTTACGTAAAAAATAGACGTATTCCCATGCATCCGGTGCGAACATCATGGGTAGAGCAGAAAGAGAATTAGGGAGTAGAAGAAATCATGAATAAATGCATGCACGAAATTCCATCATAAATGGTATACCTCCTCCAATTCTCATACTTTAGTGGTACCCGATATATTTTACCCTACAAATACATAATCCTTCCACATCAAACATTGTAGCATTATACATTTTCTCCACTTTATGTTTTACCTGCTAACACCCTAAATATGTACCAAGCATAACTCAGATGAAATAATTGCAAGAGGGACACCTGTAAGGAATCTGTTAGGTAATGTGGATTTTAACAAATTAAATGATAAAACCTCAACATTTAACAAAAAAAGCATTGAAAACGTGAAATGGGATGACGATATCAACCTGATTTGGACGGGCATAGGTCCTCTTCTCGATCTGACCTATTCTGACTCGCCCCATTCTCAATCCAGTATTCCCTAATTACATGTAATTTTACTCAAATTGTTTAAAATGTTATTATTATCTCGACCCAGTCTCAACCCAGTATTCGCTCAATTTAACTACACTTATCATATATCAACATCCTCATTCCGACGTGCTCCAATGTCATTCCTTAAGCGAAGGAAATAAAGAGGTCAATGAAGATGAACAGGTGGCATGTTTTATTTTGCACATAACATGTGTCACCCATGCAAAAGAATGGGGCGCATGAAATCTATAACCGGAAAATCATTTATTAAATTTTTTGTTTAGTTGAAATAATAGTAATAGCCACCATTTATCAAATTTGTTTAAGAGCTGCAGGGAGAGCGAACTGTGGAGGGTGTCTGGTTGAAGGAATTTTTTTTTTTGGTATTTCCACCTCTTACCATTTAAAAATTTTGGGACCTGACATTTTAAATTTATTTTCCTTTTTTTTTACTTCTTTTGTTGAAAAAAATGGTAATAGGTGAAAAAAAACCAAACTTTTAAGTGGTTTGTGCAATTGTGTTGACTTGGCAGTGACATGGCGCGTTGGCCGTTAGTTAACACGTTGATCGTTCAAGATAACGGCCAAATCTCGGGTTTGTCCAATTTCGTAACTTTGATGCGTGTAGTTGAGGGCACGAAATTATGAATAGAAAAGATTGACTAAGATATTTAATTTGTGAAAAGTTCGGGCCATTCAAATATATTAACCTTTTTACTATTATAAAAAATAGTTTAGACCCTGCCCTTGTGCAGGTTGGTATTTGTCAAAATTTTCAAATGTTCATGTTTTGAATTTTACGATTATGATTTATCAAAGTTTTATTTTTATATAATAATGTGTATAAGATATAATCCTTTTTTCGTTTTCAAAAAATATTATGACAAATTAATCCCCCAATAATATATAGTACACTTTTGTGTACTTTCCTCTATTTCAAATTTCCTGCAAGGAGAGTGAAAGTAGGAAGGACATTTTTGTCTTTACAATTAATTATTTATCTCACATTAAAAATATCAACATCAGGATTTGAACCCGGGTCTATTCAAACAAAGATAACAATCACAACTAGGGCTGACAAACGGTAATACGGTAACCGGTTTACCGTTTTATCGAACCGGTATCGGTCGGTAAACGGTAAACCGGTTACCGTCGGTATCGGTATTCGGTGACGACGGTGAGGATCCAATTTACCGGATACGGGGTCGGTATTTACCGTTGGTAAATCGGTAAATACCGAATAAGGAAGGTGGAGCAGAAGTGGGCAAATATGAGAAAAACTAGTGAACCTACTACCACCAATTTGAATTACAAACAGAGGAACAGAAGCAAAAAGAAGAAGCAGGAGTTAGGTCACCCAATTCGTCAATGGACCTTCGCCTTCTTGGCTGGTCGGAAGTTCCTTCCGTCGTTGTATGGCTGGCTGGGAATTCCCTCCGTCGTCGCGAATCAAAGGGTCACCATCGCAGCCCAACTATCAATCGTCCTCCGCCGTCTAGAATCGAGGGTCACCAGCACAGTTATTGTTTACATTGACCTTCCCCGCAGTGAATCGACGATCATCAACCCACTTTTGTTTCTTCCTCTGATCGTAAAAACAAAAGGGAATAGGCCTTCATCTTGCTCTCTGCCGGGTCGGAGAGGGGAGAGAGATCAAAGCTCCTGTTTGTGGATTTTCTGTTCAATTTTGAGATTTGAGAGAGAAAATTATACATGCATAGAGAAAATAGCTGTGGAGATATTCAGAAGAAACAAATAAAAGAACAGAGCTCTTCTGGGTTGGAGACGGAGAGGGGCAGAGCCAGAGTGGGGAGAGAGAGATTAAATGATTAATATGTATATTGGTGGTGGCGTTAGGCAAATAATACGTAGAGAGGAAGTTAGATAAAAAAGAATAAGATAAGTGAAAATGAAATATAAATGATTAATTTTTATTTAGAGATAAATGATTAATTTTTTTCTAAAGTACAGTATTTTCTGCAGGTAATTCTCCATTCTTTAGAAGGATCCAATCACCAAATTTGTTCCCCTTTGCGGTAATTCGGTAAACCGGTTTGTAACCGGTTTACCGGTAATTCGGTAATCGGTAAACCGGTTACAAACCGGTATCGGTAACGGTAAACAGTTTTGGCCAGTTCGGTATACCGAAACCGGTAAATTCGGTAACCAATTTACCGTTTACCGACCGATTCCCACCCCTAATCACAACCATTTACACTGAACAAATTTGTTGTGTCATTTTGAATACAAAATATACACGAAGTTTAACTCTCTGAAAATCGCAGGACTTTCCATCATGATTAGCAAGCCCACTAAGTATACCGTATGTATTCTTATGGTGCTTGATACTTCAATTTTCATAGTAGAGTTTCATGTAATTTTCTCAATTTTAAAATTCTTTCTCTCTCCTTAATTTTTGCTAAAGGTAAATTGATAATTGGCTACCATGGAAAAAACTAATTTTGTCACTACGTGTGTGTCTTTGCATTTTTCAATTTAAATTTAGCGATTTTTATCTTTGTTTTTATCTCTTTCTAACTTCCTCGAAAATTTCCTTCATCGTACGATAGTTTGCGCCCCTTTCACTTCCTAGTACAAGGCCGCCTTTGAAAATCGATCATCCGGTATCTCTTGGCACGCGATTTTATTGTTGGGGATTTAAGTTGGGCAAGTAAAAGAGTTTAATCAATAATAGAGTTGCAGAAGGAGGATTCGAAATTGAATTTACGGTTGAAATATATGTCTCTTGAGATAAAAATTTAGTTGTACAACAAAGAGTAATGGCTATTGGATTTTTATGTTTATGGTTTTTACATCTATCGCAACCTATTTCTATCTTAAAACGAGGAATCATTGATTGATTTATTGAAGTAGGTCGATTCTTTATTCAACCTACTAGAACTTATAGACAAGGAGTGTGTCATTTTGTGCATTATTACTTTGATTGAGTCTATTAGTATGTTGGAGATAACCCTAATTTTGTCGTTTGCTCTCAAGTTTTGATGGTCCCCTCTTAGCTGAGTTGTTAGTATATAGTTGACTTGAATCAACAACTCTCCATTTCTTTTTGATTAGTGGCATATTGTTCATTAATGGAGCGCATTAAATCCTTATGTAGGATTGTGAGGTGATTTAGTTTCAAACTATCTAATGGTCGTGTGGAATTTCACTGAGCTTTTATACCCTCTTTCTTGACAATCAACTAACCAATAGTATTTTAACGAGGGCTTAATTATCATTATGAAAATGGAATTAAATTTTATATTTTATATTCTTAAATGATGAAAATGGTATTTTATCATTATGAAAATGATATTTCTCCGAATGTTAGACCTACATATTCTTTCTTTATGTATCATCTCGATCGAAGGATTGTCAATCATTTTATATTCTTAAATGATGAAAATGATATTTTATCATTATGAAAATGGTATTTCTCCGAATGTTAGACCCACATATTCTTTCTTTATATATCATCTCGATCGAAGGATTGTCAATAAAATTAAACCGATTGATTGGCTTAAACATAATATAAAAATATAAATAATCCAATAAGAACATTCCGGCCAATAGGCCGGGTTATAAGCTAGTTGAATATATGATAGAAAATTTTACTCCGTTTGATTTAGAATGTTTGTACAAGCGGGATCGTGCTCTCCACCCATTTGGCGAATTCATCCAACATTTCAATGCTAATCTAGTGTTTTTGTAATCATTAATGAGTCTTAACTAATCTCCTTTGTTGGGTTTTCTAAGAAAATTGTGTAATTTAGTGAAATAGCAGCAAAACAAGTACACTTGGAAACCAACTTCTACTACTAACCCATGATATTGTAGATAACCTACACAACCCCTATGTTTGTTTTTCTAAGAAAAATGTATAATTTAACAAAATAGCAGTAAAACAAGTACAACTGAAAACCTACATCCTTTTATCACTATTTAACATATAAACTAATTTAAAAGATAAGTATCTCTGAATGGTGGAACTAAATTTAAAAGATAAATAGATAGGGATTTTGGAGATCACAATACCCAACATATTAATGTTATAAGGTAATGGCGTTCCACACTCGTTTTTATAAGAAACAAGATGATGAGATAATAGAGTTCTTGCACAAATGCATCGATGACCAATTTTAGCTAAAAGATCTAGACTCGTGAACTAAAACATTCAACATTTATAAAACACGGTCCAACTAAACATTTTCTAACAATAACGCCCAACCCACCAACTCAAACACACCATAGGCCAACAAACTCGAGTAAAAGATAAAAGAGAGACCAGGGAAATGAGAGAACGGTGAAAAGGGGTAACTTCAGGAGAGGAAGAAAATTGACATATCGGTGATGATGAGCTGACCACTTTATCCTTGCTTGAAAATATGATATCCATGGAGAGACTGTATGTCCTGCTCATGATCCATTGGCAAAAGATGAATTTCATCGTCTTCTTATGCCAGTAGAGATGTGCCATCAATGTCCATTCATCCAATCGGTTTGTAGAAGTTCCCGCTCCATTTTCCCTAGAAATTAAACACACAAAGATGAAGAAAGAAAAAAAACTGAGCTTCAAAAAGGCAAACAGAGAAATCAAAAGGCGAATAGCAATGCGCTCAGTTCTCCTTACGTAGCGCCCGAGAGGAAAGTCGAAGAAGAAGATGGAGAAAGACAAAGTGGGAAGCTGGAGAAGCTAGAGGGGGGAAGGGACCATGGATTACCATCAATCGTTGCTTCTAGTGACTTGTGGGATTTAAGCTTCACTCTTCTGCTGTTGATTGGCTATGAAAAGAACTGGTTCTGGTCAAAGATTATGGACTAGTAACGAGGGAGAACATAGGATATTTTAGAAGACTCAGAAGGTGATAGTGTCTCTGGCGTTTGTTTGAGTTTGTGAGTCCTAGAGACATATTGAGAATATTTTTTTCTAGGTAAAGATGAATTCGATATTTCTACTTCTGTTTCTACTTCATATTCAACATCTCTGCTTGTGAGGTCCTTGTACTCTTATAGCGATATGTTTCAGAGTGAAGTGTTTATAATTGGTTTCGTGTTGTCCTTGTACTCTTATTGTGCCGATTTGGCTTGACGCTATGATTGTGTTATCCATAGAGTAGGTTCTCCGTCCATGCATTAGTCCTTCATATATAGCTAATTTCCAGCAAATTAATTGGATGGTTAATCCTGGTGATGAAGATGATGATCTTTGATTGATAAAGCATGAGGTAGTGGTAGTGTGCTTAGAAGGCCTAATATTAAAGACATTGCTAGCGGAGGTGGAAAGTA